TACATATACACACAAGCATATCCACAGATGCACACACGAATAATCATGATTATATACAGTGCATACACACACATGCATTTATATTTATATATGTGCGTACCAAAAAACAGGTCATGGCGCCGACGAGATTCATACAAAACAGCCGGAGCACTTCGAAGGCGTGGAGTTTGAGACACAGTTATCTAAAGGCAAGATATCCGTCATGAGCCGATCTCTCTCGGGCGAACGGCGTCTCCTCGTCTACACCTCTTCGACGGAGGGTTCTGGTGCCAGGTAAGTTCACGGCGAAATGCTTGTCATTGGTCAAATCAAGAAAGAAACATCCTGATAACGATATTATTTCATTCTGCATCAAGCCGAATTCAAGTCTGTCAGTGTGTACATATTTATGTCTTCCCGTTGTGTCTTAGCAAGTGGATGTTGCATCTCCCGACTTTGAACTTGAGGCTGAACGCCAGTTCAACCTCCAGGCGTGATCACCTGAATGATCACAGTTATTTCGAAGCTGAGATGACGAATCTCATCACAAAGACGAACGTTAAAATCACAAGTAAGGAAGTTCTTGTCCGACAGAGAGACAATCCAGATGATACTGAGAAACAAGTTCAAGAAGAAAACAAAGCGAATGAAGCAGTTCGAAGTCATCCATCCAAGACAATGGAGGGAGGCAGTGAAGAGGACCTAGTTTCAGACAGCAGCTCTCAGGAAAATATCAGGCGCACTAAAAGGCACGTGGACGAGGGTCAAGTAGGGACTGACTTCCAAGAATCTGAAGCGTATTCCGGAGGGTCTGACTTGACAGGATTGTTCCTTCCTGCCAATTGTATCCCCGGATCAAAACTTGTAAAGCATGTCCAGCAGACTGTCGCCAGTAGCATATTCAACGTAGAAAATACCATGACTGTAGACGGTAAATATGATCCTCATTAATGTACAGCCTCATCTTGATGAGAATTATTATCTTCACATTGTCTGCGGTGAAGAAATATTTTCATTCATACCTTTGTCTACATCTTCACATCGCTTTCATATTAACAAAACAGAACTGCAATATTATTAGACTTTGAGACTCCTTTGGCATTCTTGGCACAAAAATACTTTCCCCACTACTTTTCGTCTTCTTAAAACTAAGTACTGTGTTTATTTTCATATTTTGGTTAAACTGTATTTAACAAATCTTGCAGGCGTTGTGTTGACATGTCCATAATATATAAATTCCAGAGCATTTTGTGTCATTATCGTGGCATTAGAATGTCAAAAAGAATGAAATACTTTCTGCTTCGAAAACCACCTTAACCCAAACAAAACGGGATGTTCGAGAAAGAATTCGAAACGTCGAACACAAATTTTGACATTGATTATACATGTCTTGTCCTTTGACCACTATTTTCTATGTGTTTTCATGCCCTGCCCCTCACCCCTTCCTTACCCCAGCCACACCCGACGGAGAACACATCATTAGCATCCTCCAGAAGACATCGCTCCCAGCCTGCCCGGAATTCGAGTGGGTCCTCAAGCGTGAGTATTTATTTTTATTTTTATTTTATTTATTTTTATTTTTATTTTTTTTTTGCTTCGCGCCTAAGGATACTTTGTGCAGTTGCTATGAAAAAGACGAGTATTTTTTTTTTTACTGACGTTGGTAATACCATAATATCATTATATTGGTGTCGGTACTGTCATCATATCAATGCATCATTGTTATCACTATCTTTAGTAATGATAGCAACAAAAGCAATAATGGTACTGCTAATGATAATTATCGTAACAGTAACAGCACCAATAATAATAAGGATAATAGTAATAATAATAGTAATAATAGCAACAGTAATAATAGTATTAGTAATGATAATGATAGCAGTAGTAATAAAAGAAATTGATAATAATTATAGCAATGATTATAATAATGATAGTAAGAGTAATGATAATAACAATGATTATGATAATAGTAATAGTAATAATAGAAGAAATGATAATGATAATAGTAACAATATCATCATCATTACCATTATCATTATCATCATTATTATGACTAGTGACATTATCTTATTAGTTTTATTATTATCATCATATCATCCTCATCCTCATCATCAACATCAACATCAACATTGACGTCAACATCATCATTATCATTATCATTATTATCATTATCATTGTTATTATTATTATTGATCTTATTATTATCATGAAATACCAAGAAACGGAAATAATATAAAAATAATAATAACAAAACACAAAACACAAATCGAACGAGTGAACTTTATAAGTTTAACCTACTAACCTTCTGTCTGATCGATTCAATCAAAAAGTTACTACAATGAAAAGACTTAAGACATTTTTTCCAACAAGGGAATTACTAAATCTCTCTCTCTTGCTCTCTCTCATTTTCTCTCTCTCTCTCTCTCTCTCTCTCTTCTCTCTCTCTTCTCTCTCTCTCTCTCTCTCTCTCTCTCCTCTCTCTCTCTCTCTCTCTCTCTCTCTCTCTCTCTCTCTCTCTCTC